GTGACTATCCAGTACCCTTCTCACCTTCGAGTCTCTGCTCAGACACACACCACGGCAGGCACAGTAGCAGATTATTATGGTGGGGTACACGTTCACAGGTGCTTGTGGTGGGGGAGGTGCTAGCCTCTTTCTTGGTACCTAGGAGAGAAGAATGCCTGTCTGTGTCCTTGTCTACAGTTGCTGGGGAGCTGGACGTGGTGCTCATGGCACAGGCACCTGACACTCTGGTACAAGTCAGCTCATGTTTTAGGTGTATGAAATGACCCAGGAGTTGCACCCTGACCAAAAAAGAGTTTTCTTCAGAAAGAGGACAGCCCAACTCCCCTGGTTTGACAATCTAGCTCTTCCCTAATTGTAACAACCTCATTTCTATGTCTTTGCTTCCCTTACTGGCAGAAGCCCAGCAGAGGCTACCCAGTGGCCCAGCCTTTGCTAGTAACTGTTCTCTCAAGCTGGCTCTGCCCTGTGCAATTGCAGCTTCCACAGACCACGTTGAAGCCAATACAGGTTTCATCTGGGTAGAGAGGCTAACTTCCCACCACATTCCAGACCAGCCACTTCTTTGACCCATACATCGTAGGCTATTCACCCAGTCTTGGTGTCTGTGCTCACCTTGGGAGGTGTTAGGGTTTAAATGTGAGATGTCCCCTAAGAGCTCATGTGTGAGACAATGCAAGAAGGATCAGGGGAGAAATGACTGTATTGTGAGACTCTTACCCCAATCAGTGAATTAATCCCCTGACAAGGATGCACTGGTAACTGAAGTGGTACGGTACGGCTGGAGATGGTGGGAATTGGGGGCATGGCTTTGGAGCTTATATTTGTATCTGGCAAGTGGAAATCTCTCTCTACCTCTGCTGACTGATCATCATGTAGGCTGCTTCCCTTTGCCACACTCTTCTGCCTTACCTCAAGCCCCAAAGTATGGAACCCGCCTTCTATGGACTAAGACCTCTGAAACTGTGAATCCTCAAATAAACTTTTCCTCTTCTACAGTTGTTCTGGTCGGGTTCTGTTAGTCATAACAGTGAAAATGCTGATCAAAACAGTGGGTATGTCTCAGAGTTCAGGTCCAGCCAAGGTACCCCTCCTCAGTCATGGGATCCCTAAAGTTGACCCATGCCCACCCTTAGCCCTGCCAAGAGAGAGAGATGAAGACTCATTAGGATGAACCGAACAGACCTCCAGAGCCTGGAGATGGGGACCAGGAACAGAAACCTCAGGCTCTTTCTCTAGAAGACCCCACTCTTACCCCAGATTCTCAGCATCCTACAGAGAAAGCACTGGATCCCACAAAAAGCCCAGTTAGTTAGTAGGGATGACCATAGGTGGTAAAATAGGATCTTCATTGTTCCAGTTCTGACACAGACCCACCGTCAGAGTTGCCAGGAGCCTGGAGGGGTGTTGTATGGGTTGACATCAATGTGAGTCTTATGTTCTTTCCAGACCCCTCATGACTGCTCATTTGAAGTGTTTTCCTCAGGTAGGGGATCAAATCAGTACTTAAAGTTCCACGTACCTTTCCTGGTGGTAGCACCAGAGGTGGCTTCTTGACAGTCTGGAATGTTAAACAGACACAAACAGGGGCTGGTGTGGGTGGAGTGGGCAGTGCCTGGGCTCTGCAGACAGAGGGGACCTGGGGAATGGAGCAGAAGAACAGAACATGGTCTTGGGGGTTAACAGGGGTTCTCCACGCCTATGGTGCTCTGCCCAGCAGGCTCCACTGGACCAAAGGTATATCTGGTACCATTCTGAAGAGTTGCAGAAGATAAGCCAGGCAAAGACTCCAGTCCCTGGAAAGGCTCAGCTTCTGGAGTGCTGAGCATCTGCCCAAACCTCACTGGAGTCAGAGCACACTCTAGTCTCTCCACTTCTGGGAGAAGCTCCTAGTCTTTGGAGCTCTCACTAGTCTTTCTGTCTTTCTAGGTGGTTAAGGATCTTTCTCTGTTCACTGCTACCCTGGGCAGAGATAGGACCAACCTGCTCTGTGCTCTGTGCTCCATGCTCTCTGCTTCTCACACCTGTTCTTTCTGTTCAGTTCCTCTACCTCTCTGTAGCATTCCTTCCAACCCTGCTCTCCAGAGCCTCTGCCTTCTCCAATGCCCTCAGGGGGCCAGTCTCAGTCATTTGCTACTGCTTTGCTGTACCCTGACTGTATCTTACTGGGGATGATATCTCACACACATGCCTCAGGAATGGGAGCTCCCCATAGCCAGGAGATACCTGCTTCCTTTCTCTACCTCTGGAGCCCATCAAGGGCTTCTAGTCACTGGCACTCAGCCATGGGAGATGAAAAAATGGCATATGGCACCACAAAGGTGCAGAGATCCACGTTGGTTTAACAGCTCCTCTGGCCCAGAGGTTGCTGCTCCTTCCTGGTCAGCATCACTCTGTATTTGGTGCCACCACCAGTATTTCATGGGGTCTCCTCCTCCTTCTCCCATAAGGAGGCTAGCCCTAGGTTCTTGTTCATTCAAGGCCTGCTCAGGTCCAATGGCTGAGAGCTCCCCCTAGTCTCAGAGGTCCTGGGCTCAAGGGCCCAGGGCTCAAACCAGCATCCAGGTGTCCCAGGCCAATTCTGTGTACAGGCCTGGGAAGGATGCCCCACAGGAGCACAGGCTCTGTCTAGCTTCTTGGGATTTGAGAATAGAGTCTGATGGCCTCAGAGCTCATGGGAAACTGCCCACAGGCTGGATCCTGGTGCTGTCGCATGCCATGTGCCTTGGACAGGAGCATGCCTCTGGGCCTTGGGAGTGGGCAGACAATGGGTACTCACTGGTGGACAGCACAGCTGCCATAAGCATCCAAGCAGCAGCAGAGACAGAAGCAGGGATAGTCCGATTGGGATAAAAATGAATCTTTTGTTCTTCACATAAATTTTCACTGGCTTGCTGGTGAGAGGTGGGATACTGGTGGTGGTTCCAGCTGGCTTTTCACCGCTGGTGGTGGTTGAAGTTTCAGTTTGAGTTGTTTCACTGGTAGATGTTGTTTCTGGAATAGGTGTTGTAGTCATTGCATTCTGTAGGGGAAAGAGTTCATTCCCAGGAGCAATACACATGGCAGAGGCCTCCACAGGTCCTGCATGACCTGTTCCTAGCTGGCTTCTCATTTACCTATTCCCTTTCTCCACAGGTGGTTGGGCATTGAGTACCCACAGTGGGATTAGGGGTTGAAGCTGGTCCCTGGAGAGCAGCATAATTGGGATCTGCTTCCCACAGGGTCTGCCCTGAACCCAGATAGGTAAGGACCAGAATCCTCTATGTTCTGAAGAAGTGTCTTGGCTATTTGGATGCTGCTCCAGAATAATAGGGCTTTTTGAAGAACTCACACACACATACACACACACACACACACACACACACAAATACAAGTACTAGAGAATTTAGGGTCACACTGCTGGGGGCCCTGGAGTTGTTCAGGTCCAAGAGTATGGTAGGAGTCCTGGCATCACCTCTCATGGCCTGTCTCCTGTTTTGGTTTCACAGCCAATGGTTTACCTACTAATCCCTCTGAACCTTAGTTTGCACATCTACCTAAAGGGAAGGAACAACCCTCCTTCATTGGCACTTGTGAGTCTGAGAATTTAGAGACTGTCCTAGCTCCAGGTCAGGTCCACCTGGGACTTCAGGAATAGGGACTATTCTCCTGTTGTCCTTCACAGTTTAGGGAGCCCAGGCTACTCATGGGTGTAGACTGTCCCACTGTTCCCTGAGTCAAGCAATCGCTCACACAGAAGGCTGCAGAAGGGACACAGGGAGGCCAAGGGCAGCTGAGCATAGAAAACATCACTGGAAAGTGACAGCGATGGTAGCTAGTTAGGTTGGGGTCACTGGGCTGCTCCTATGCTCTTTCCTAACTCTGCCTGCTGCAGGAAGGACTGTCGTCTCTTTATGGACAGATATGTGAATTCAGCCTGCTGACCTGTGCATGTTTGTGCAGACCTAGAAGCCAATGCAGACCTTGAAGGGGACTGTCAACCAACCCATGTGGTTCTCATGAGCTGAGACTGGACCCAAGGGTAGATGACATGTGGATCAAGGACTTCCTCTTTGAAAGCACACCCTCCTGTGAACCTGCAGTGGGCTCAAGTGCCAGGAGGATGGAAAGGTCAGAGAAGCCACACCTGCTGAGAAGTACTCTCATCCCTAGGCATTTCCTGCTGAGCTAAGCCAGGTTACACACCTGACAACCGGCCACCAATAGCAGGGGAGGGAGTGCAGGGGAGAGGGTAACAGCTGGGAGTGGAAAGAAGAGGAGAGAGGAGGCTGTCAGTACTGCAAATGACATAGTTGTCACAAAGCAGGCTTTGAGGTTGAAGTCAAGTGTAGTTTAGGGCCACAACAGCAATTGGGTCTCTGGTTAAGTGGCACACACAATCTATGCAGCTTGTGGAACCATTCAGATTCTTATCACTGGGAAGCACATGTGGAAACAGTGGGCACCTTAACATTCTGGACTCTGGTACCTAGCAGCAAGCTTCCAAGCCTCTCACTCTGCCCACCTGGAATCTTGGATAGGGCTACCTCTGATCCTGTCTGCATGAGCTGTTTTCCAGGATTGCCTGGAACCTTCTGCCATTTTGCCCTCCCCAGGGCATACTGACATCCAGGGCACAGCCTCTGGACAACTGAGAGGGGCACCTTCCCCACAGTGTACTCACACAGTCTGTGCTGGTGATGCTGATGTTGTTGGACAGGAAGGTTTTTCCTTTATTCAGGCTGAGTTCAATAAATGCCTGTCTAACACAAAGAAAATGCAGATAATAACTAGCCTGAAGACACATGGTTCAAGACAATGTCCTCATGGCATTGACAATCAATCAGGCCAAGTGAGGCTCCTAGAAAGTGGGCAGATGCATCTGAGAGCTCAATGTTGTGGGTGCGAAGAGGATGACCTTTGCATTGATGTCCAAGGAAGCTGTAAATTAGGCAGCATGGGCCCTCATGGCTTCGCATGGTGGCCCTGGGCTAAGTGATCAGGGAAGACTGCCTGGTGTCAACACCTTGATTCTTCTGTATGATAGGGTTTGCTCTCAAAAGCAAAGATACAAATCCTCAGGTATATCACCTCACACAATCTGCCCTGAGCAAGGTATGGGCCACAGTGGATCCCTGAAAAATCACCTAGTAGCAGAACTAAGGTCAGGTTGTGGAGGTGCCCTTTGCCCTCCAGCACAGAAGCAGGTGCTATATAGTCAAATGGACATCCCATACTCGTGCACATAATCGTGGAAAACACTGACCAGTTGGCATCTTACCCATTTGGGCCACCATCCAGGGGCACTTACTGTCCAGGTTGCTCTAATATTGCTCCAGGGCAAGTTAGGGTATACTTGCCAACAGAAATGGGGCTTTCATCTGAAAGAAAATGACATGTGAATGTCAATAGACACGTGTGTCCACCCTGTCACCCCCTGCCTGACCTGGGCAAGCAGGACTGACCCTTTTCCTCAGGACCAGCTTCTCCTCTCTGCCTTCATTCTTTTCAAAGATAACTGCTCATCACCTCTCAGCCCCACACTGAGCAGCATCCCTCTTCAAGGGAACAGGAAGGAGTGAGAGCCCCTGTTACCAAGGGCTCACTTGTTAGGAACTATGGTGTCACCAATGAGCAGAGAAAGGGATGGGGCATGCCAGGGAAGGATGGCCGCTGAGTTATGCCTGCACTGTCCCTTTTGACAGAGATACAATTTCTCCTTTAGTTAAACAAATATTTATACAAGAACTGATGCTATGTCTGGAAAGTGATTGAAAGTGCTCTGGGGTGATGTTTTCATGGAAAACAGGTGGTGTGGGTTGGGGATGATGGAGATTAAGCGGTAGATGCTTTAAATTCACGTACGATTCTTGCTATTTATGTAGGCTATTGACCCTGTTCATTAAAAAAACGTGTTCTCTCTGAGGAGCTGATATTTGAACTGAGACTAGGTGGAGAAGCAGCTAGGGGACTGCAGGAGGGAAGAATGTTCTGGGCTGTGGGAAGGGCATGTGACAAAGCCCTGAGGCAGGGACTGCTGAACCCGATCAGGAGGGGAAGAAGTTAGACACAGGAGAGGTGTGCAGGGTGGGCCCTGGGAAGGGCTTTGGGGTTTTACTCCACAAACATTGATCTTTCAGGGCTGCACAGACTCTGGGCATAGTTTAGGCATAGAGACTTGCTGATGGACTGGATATGAAGATGAACTAGGTGGGATCAGCATGGCTTTTTGAATTAAACCAGAGAGAATAGGTGGACAGTGGTGTCATTTCAGAGATGGGGAAGCCTGAGAGAAAAATAGGGATTTTTTTTTTTTTTTGTATGTTTCCTATTCTTTCCTGTGGGAGCTTGGGAGCCTAAGAATTCCATAACTTGCAGTAGTGGACACTTTTCATTTCTGAGCCCAAATCATCTTTATTCCTCCTGAGCCTTGGTCAATAGGTGAGAGCCAAGTGCATCCCTGCTAGTTGCACCTGAAGCTGTAGCTTTCCAGTCCCTGCTTCCTATCTGGAGGCCGGAATGAATGGCCTCAGCAGTCCTGCCATCTGGGCTTCTCAGAGTTGGACCAATCCCTTTCCTGTCGTTTTTCATGTCTCCACCTTCCTCAGGCTCTGGGAGCTGGATTTTTCCCTTCCCTAAAGACCTGAGCCATAGCTCTGCCCCTGCTGATCAATCTGTGAGCACAGATGCAGGATGGAGAAGGTCTCTCACTGACTGCAGACCCAGGGCTGGATCAGGGGGCAGCGATGATGCTCCGGCATCCCAGCAGGGAGACTGCCCAGTGGAGGGCCCATTCTCCTGAGATATTCTCAGGAGACATCTCCCTAGTAGCAGAACTAAGTTTAAATATGGTTCTTTGATTTAAAACTAAACAAAACAAAAAAGCAGTTGCAAGTGTCTGTTTAGGAATGTTCTGTGATTTTTTACGTTAGACATCTAGGTGTTACCAGCTGGGCACTTCAGCTGTGGACCAGACGGACAAAAGGTCAAACAGAAGAAATCGTCAGTGACACCTTGACCTGTGAGTGCCTCTGTGTTCCCTTTTACACTTCGGACACCTCCTGGGACCATGAAGGAATCTTTATAAGATACCCAACAATTTTTTCATCCTTCTTTAGTTTCTTTTTTTTCTTTTAAAATCATATTCAAGTAAAATTAGACTTATTATGGAGTAATTAAGATTGCTTCAACTACTCATTTTGAAATTGAAATTAGGGGAAGCATGAGTCATTATATTTTCTGTATTTTTCTGTTTCCTACTGTATATTATTTGTATACTTAAAAATTAAATTAATTCCTAATATATTAAAATTGCTGTGAAGTAAAATTTAAAAATTATTTTTCATAAATAAAATTTTATTTTCTGTACAGTTTCTAATGTTTTTCCTTCTACTTTATGTCAGGGCTGTTTCTCACTAATACTTTCATTATTCAATGGCCACTTAACCATAAAGCATGAATTCCTGAAACATTTTTTTGCCCTCATTGACACTGATTATGAGAACTAATCATGAAAATTTTGTTAGGGGAAAGGATTTGTTTCTATGGATGGAATGTCTGAATTGGGTGTGCACTGATTATGGGTGGTGTTCTGTTCAGTGCGCTGAGGTGGAAGTAGTTAAGAGGCACCCAGACAACTGTGTCTGGGGCTCCAGATCAGGATGGGCAGAAGTGCCAGTATATCTTGGCTGAAAGGAGTTTGCAAGCCAAGATTAAATGATGAAACTGGATATCTTGGTTGTCATCATAACAAGTTCCATCTTCAGTTATAAAAGCATGACATAATAAAGACAAAAAAATGAAGCACATACAATTCTTCTTTATGCTTTTTTTTCCATTTTGTAAAATAATTCCCCAATTCTCTTTTTAAAAATTTTTTAGTGTGTCGATGGACCTTTCTTTTATTTATAAGCGGTGCTGAGAATCCAACCCAGTGCTCACGCATGCTAGGCAAGGGCTCTACCACTGAGCTACCATTCCAGCCTCAATTCCCCAATTCTTGAGAGAGTCAAATACAATTCCAAACCACGTAATCCATCCTTATCAGTGTCCCAGTGCTCCCTGCACAAGCCAGTCATGCTCAGCCACTTCTGACCCAGGCACTTATCTAGAGCAGGGTGGTCATTGGCAGAAGTCCCTAGAACTAAGGCGTGGGCTCTCCTGCATGACATTTTGAGCAGGCCCTCCTGGAAGAGAAAGCCAGCGACCTCCAGAATGGAAACCCCCACACCTACAATGCTCCACAAGAAGCATCTGAACCCTTTCTTGGGAGTAGTCTAGGCCCCATCTGCCCCCAAGAGCCATCATCTCAGTGGAACAGAAGGCCCCTCTGGACACTTGGGTCTTCTCCTGGGTTGACTTTTCAGCTTGCTGCAGCACTGTGCAGCTGAGGACCAGCCCCTCTACCTGTCTGGCTTTTTCTCCATCCAAACATAGAAAATACAATGAGGTTGTTTCAAGGACTCATGGGGAAAGCATATGTAAGGCACTTCTCTTAGTATCTGGTACCAGGAAAGCTGAACACTGATCAACACTGTGTGGGAAAGGAAAACTTCGTCCACAAGCCACTCCTGAGGAGGCATAGGCCCATGGAAACCTACTGCCCTGTGAGTACGCAGTACTGTCCATTAAGACTGTGGACATGACGGAGCAGGCCCCTTTCTATATACTCATGGACTGGAACCATCCTGGGACAAGAGAGATCTAACCACAATGACCAGTTGGCCCTGGAATAAGAAATCATTGAACATAAAATAACTGGATTAAATTAATGTACCAACAGGCTAAATGGAGAGCTAAGGAGGTACAGAAATTTCAACTATGTCCCAGTCACTCCATGAGTAAGACACCACCCTCAGCCCTAATGGCATGATGCCTGGACTATGTGCTTCTTCAGGCCATGTCTCATCATAGAAGAGACCTCTGATGCCTGAGTATTACCAAATAATAGAAGAATTAGAAAACTGGTAAGTGCTTCTCTGTACCAACTGCTCTGTATCTGCACTATTCCTTACTTAGTGCAATTAAGATTGTGGCTCCATTCTAAAGTAGAGAAAATAGAAAGTCAGAAGGAAGCACTCTTTTGGCCAAAGTCACATTATTGTGTCTTCCCCAGCTCAAATTTCAGGACTGAGGCCTGGTATCCAAATATCTTCTCAAGCCAAGGTAAGGTCACTATAAGCCCCTAGGAAGGCTTCCTATGCACTTGGGAAGACTCAGCTCTGGGGATCTGGTCCTATCCTACCAGTAGACTCACAAGATTGGGCTGTAGTTTTTCAAGGGAAAGAAAATGAGGATAGTGTGGGACACATGCTCTGGTGAGGACAGGACAGTCCCAAACTCAGCCTTGCTTATGGGTGAAGCCTTCTCTTCAAGATACTTCTGTGGCATTGGAGAATTCTTACTTCTCTGCTTTGCAAGTGAAGGAGGATGTATCCAGAAATCTCAGCCATGTCCCTCCTTCAGATCATCCACAGTGTATGTAATCTCAGAGTGTCTACTAGGAACAATCAACAGAGGCAGGGAAGGCATGGCAGGGAGAGAGGAGGAGCACGAGAACCATGTGCCTCAGAGGCAACTGAGAGGGCTACTTACCAACAACTTTGGAGTCATTCAACTTGAATCTGCAAATAATTCGGTCATTGCCTTTGCCATACAAAAAGCCATGTCCACGAACGACAATTTTGTAGGGTTCTGCAAGGACAACATTCAAACATCTGACTGAAGAGATCTGGTTACTGCATTCCTCTGAGTTCATTTTTCTTGAGGGTCCACCCCCAAGATGGATATTCCAGGGGTTTCCTATGAGGCAGCAGTTGGACCTGAATCAAGATCTATGAAATCCTCAGGAAGAATGCAAATCTGGTATAACTGAGGGTCCTGAACTCTCAGGGGGCTCTTAACCCACCATCCTAATTCAGAAGCCCATGAAAGATTCTCAACCCTAGTTGATCCACAGGGTTCCCCTGAACCAGGAATCTTCCTACCCTGTCACTCTGTATGTGGCAGGTTTGCACAAGATGGCCAGAAAATGAACAGCTCACTGATTGAGAAGAAGCTGTTGGGAGAAGGAGTGGCAACTTACATCTCCACCTAGGGTTTGTTCCAATTGTTCATATGGCAAGGCCTGTGTGTTCAGGACACATGATGACACTTAGGCACCAGCCACCTACCTGAACTGCTTTAAACCAGAAGTAAAAGATGTTATGTGGGGGGATGGGAGCCCTTGAGTCCACCTCCACCCCTTAGTATGGCAGTCTCCCCACTCTTGCCCAGCACAAGCAGGGGCAGGGGGAGTGCTGAGCCAAGGACGAGGATGGAGATCTCAGGACCCACCTTCTCCCAGGTGCTAAGCCAGTCACTTCATCTGTGTCTCCCGACAGTCCTGACAGTGCTATTTCTATCCATTTTAGATATCTCACACTTTGCAGCAGGCCTGGTGCCACAGGTAGCAGATGTGCACACAGTGCTGCTGCCAATAGCCTGTGGCCATGGAGCCTCCTCTAGAAGGTCTGAGAGGCCTGGCCCCAGCTGCCTAGGCTGGAGGCCAATGTAGCAGCTGAGCTGTCAACATGGGAGAAGGAGGCTGGAGGCTCTGTCTTTATCAACCACAGTTAAGGACAGCAACCATTTGGTGCCAGGGTTGCACACAATGCTTGTTTGTGACAAAGAGAGGTGGACATCCCCCAGTACTACACAATTTTGTCCTCAGCACACTGAGGTAGGAATGTTGAGTGGACAGAGGCATCCTGGTCTGGTCCAGCCTTAGGGGATATGGGACAGATGTGGCCCTTTCCTCACTGAGTGACATGAGCCCTGGCTCTCAGGGTGGAGACCTTTGTAAGGAAAAGAGGTTTCTTTTGCTCCTGGTAGGAGGTTGGAGGTTAGGGGTTTAACTGGGTGATTCTTTTTCTTTATTCATTAACATAATCACTTGTTTCATTGCACATTTTGTGAATATCTACAGTCCACTGTTATTCCAAATCCTGAATCTGTCTGGATGTTCTGGGATAAGTGCTGATTATTTTTGATGTATTGGCCTGTTAAAATGTTGTTCCATCCATTTGGTAGTGTTTCCTTGAGAATTTTTAACATATATTTTCTGTAACTTTGCAATTCAAATTTTCAATGAGGAAAAAACAGTAAATGCACACATATACCCAGATCTTTACCCCTAAATTCACACCCACAAATGTGCATCATATATTTATGGAGTGCACACTCACATAAACTACACATTCACATAGACTCATCTCACTCACACTCAAACACCATCACACATGCAACAAATACTCAAATATCAAAACATGCATATCACCTCCATAAAACATCTCCACAGGCTGAACACTTGCATACTACACACAACTCCACACACACACACAGGACACCCAAACACACATACCACACACTCAACCAAAATACACACAGAAAGACACCATTTAAAATCACCACACTGTACAATCATACCACCCACACATACCATACACATAGGTACACAGGCAGGCCTAGAGCGGTGACTCCTCAAGCTCATCTCTGACCTTTTATACACACGGTGACATTATCCACAGATGTGAAATTAGGACAGACTCGGGAAACCAGCTGGAATAGAGAGAAGGGAGAAAGGTGGTGAGTGTTGTCGCCTTGGGCACAGGTGAGATGCCACCCACTTCTGCTCACAGCCAGCCCCACTCACTTCAGGAACAATGGTTGGCAGGTGTCTAAATCCTTGTCTCAGTGGAAATCCATCTTTTGATCTATCTGCAATTTCAAATACCTAAAGACAATGGATGTGGCTCGAGTTCCCCAGCTAGGAACTCAAGGACGCAAATAGGTCCCCAGACTCAGAAGGAAGCATCAGTCGCTCATGCCATAGGGCAGTAAAGTGTTAGGCAGTTGGGGACAGATCCTGGCTTCTGCCCCCACCCCCAGGCTCAGGGAACAGGAACCTGCCCCTCTTACACTGCATGGGGAGGTGGAGGGGGGTCACTCAGTTACATGGTCATCCTTCTGCAGTGGCTCATGTCCCCTAGGGCAGTCAAGATGACCAGCCTCTGCCAGGCCCTGGGAGGCAACCCTTGAGACTTCCCTAATAAGACTGCAGAGAGACACTGGGATGTTGAGTTACCTGCAGTGTGTCAACTATGTTTATACCCACAACATTAAGGGATGCCCCCAATTGCCGAATCTTTTCAGCCTAAGAGGAAAAAAAAAAAAGGGGTTAGACACAAATTGCCAAAATACACAAATTGCAGCAAAGGGTAAGGATGGCTTGACTCACTTCTGCTTTTACTTTCTTTTTCTGACTGTCCAACATGATAGGTTCAGTCATCAAAGCAATGACCAGGCTGGAGCCACTGAGGCCTGCAGGACAAATAAAGAGTGGCCAAGTTGGCTAGACTCCAGCATGGGCTTCAGAGGCACTGACCACCGTAGTGAGTCTGGGTGCTCCCCAAACCTCAATCTCCTTGGACTGGTGCCTAGTCTAGCACGTGCCTTTCAGAGACCCCCAAGCCAGAAAGGTACTACATCCATAACCATTTATTTTACAGACAAGGAGAATGGGGGTCCAGGACCCCTTCCTACCAGGATACTTCAGTTACCCCCAGGATGTGTTCCCTTTGTCCACAAGCCCCAGCCTCTCAGCTGGGCACAGGGAGAAGCAGCCTGACCTACCTGCAGAGAAGGCCTAGTACGGCTGGTAGAGGGCAGGCACCTGATCCAGGCACAGCCTGAAAGTACTTTTGGCAGCTTTGGTACCAGCAGTTCAGGGCTCTTGGTCATAGAAATTTGAGGAGAGGACGCAACACCACCTCGATATTGTTCCCCAACAGGACCCACCTATTCCTGTCAGCAGTTACAAGCCCATGTGTCCATTGTGGATGGGCAAAGTTGTTTGCACTGAGACACTGGTCCAGGAGGCAAGTCCAGAGAAGGAAGATATGGATAGGAGAAGGAAGAGAAAGGTCTAGCCAGGCAGGGGAAACCAAGCCGTGGGTTCCATGCACTGGGATCGCAGTGTTCTCAGTCCCCTGCGTTTTTCTCCTTTCTGCTCACAGAGCTCAAAGGTAGACCAAGACCTCAGAGTGACCAAGAGTCATACATAGACACATAGGGTTTCATGTGCCTCTCAGAAGCAAATCTGAGCAGGGGTGCTGTGCTCACTGTGCATGGGGCAACTGGAGCTCTGAGCGGTGAGCAACGAGCCCCAAGATTTGATTCTGAGAAGAGGTCCAGGGGCTCTGCATACAGACCTTTCCCAGGGGCACCAACTCTGTGCCCTGAGTTACCATGATGAAGGCTCCAGGAAGCTTACCTTTTGATCTGGTTTTCTGCATCTCGGAGTGAACCTACAAAAAAAAAAAAAAAAGAAGAAGAAATGTTGGGAGACAAGTGTGAGACCACCGCAGGGTTACTTGAAGAACTTGGGAAGTAGCATGGATACACAAGCTCTGACTCTCCATACCTTAGTAAGTCCTTTCTCTATGTGCATGTTCCCTGCAAGCATAGTATTATTCAGTCTCTCCAAGGCTCTTCGAATTTCTTCTCTGAAAAAGGTTGAGGTGGGGAAGTTTGACCGTCACAAATCAGTTCCCAAGCTAACCCGAAGTTTTCCCCTTGACTGCCTAAACACAAAATGACATCAAGGAAAGAGCTCAGTCACCCCTACACGGTTCTGGACCTTTGACAGGAAGTTTTGTGCCCTTCTCTATTTCTGAGCCAATGATAATTGTGGCAGAACAGGTTGGGAAGGGGGGAGACTTAGAGGGTCCTATGGGAGGATCTGCCTTTTTCTGACTCGGAGACCTCAGCATGGGCCCACCTGACCTGATCCTAGTGAAAGCAGGAGCCTTGTAGAGAAGTGTGTGTGTGAGTCAGACACTACCAGTGGGACCAGTATTCCTATCTATAACCCTAAAACTCAGAACACCCTCTTCCTGAGCACTCTGTCCTTCCAGAGGGAAGGCTGAGTTTGGAAAAGATCATGTTGCTAAGCTTCTGCTGGCTCCCATCTCCACTACCACAGACCCCTGGTCTGACTCCTCTCCTGCTTTTCCCCTGCCAAAGGTAGCAGCCAGTCTGCCCAATTAGAGCTGCGGTTCCAGGACCTCGTGTGCTCCTGGAAAAGGCCTAAACCAGGGCTAGTGGCCCTGAACACTGCCCTGGAGAGTGCCCAGCAGTGCTCTGTGGGTTGGCTGGGCGATGGGACCTGTCAGACTGTTAAAGCAGACAGGAAGGACTAAGGCTGGCAAGCTGGTTCTGGTTGGCAATACTGGCAAAGGAAGGGGTGGAATGAGGCTGGAGTTCAATGCGTGTGATGGGCTGAGCCAGCAAGGTGACCCAGAGAATGAATACTGAGGGTGGCTTTCTACCATAGGCAGAGAAGCTCCTGTGGGGTGAGATCTGTGGACCCTAAACGTGGCCCTGCCTGTCCATGCACAGAAGATGAGGAGGTTACACCCAACCATGACCAAGAAACACCAAGCAATGGCCTGCCCAGCCCAGCCCAGTACCTCCTTCTGCCAGCCCAGCCTGCTAGCATCCTTCCCATGCACTTCCTCTCCACCACCTCATACCCACTGAGGTGTATTCCCAAAACCCCACTTCAGGATACACCAGCCAGGTCTTAAGTGTGCCCAGGAAGCTCCCTGTCCTCCCAGCTAGACCTCGGGCTTGACCTGTCCACCGGCGTTGGTCTTTCCGCCCCTCATCTGAGGCTCACTTGTCTATTTCCACAACCTACCCCTGGCTTATCTCCAGGAACCTGGGCAGTGCCTACCCCTAACTCCAGATACCCTGTCCATCTTCAATGTTTTGATGTCCCTGTTATGTCCCTTCAGGGGACCCAACTGTCCTCCACAAAGGAAGTTTCCAGGGGGAAGTGGCACGTCTCTCTCATTCCCAGCCTCTTTCCCATCCCACCTGCCCAGGACAGAGTGTGACCTGCTCACAGCATGTATCACATAGGCCAGAGTTCCCGTGGGACCAACCTGATCTGCTGCATCAATACCCTGGATCCCAGAGTTTGTCAGTCAGCTCCCAACAAAAAAAATTAGGACTGATATAGGGCAGAATGGAAAGAGAGTGAAGGATGTCTTTGGGGACCCATGAAGCAGGGGCTCAGAGGTCCTAGAGAACTGGGGCTGGAAATCAGCATTGGCACTAAAGTCTCCCTAGGCCAACCCACACCTGTGTAGGAACTGGAGCCTTATGAAGGCCTTAGGGAAGCCCTTAGTTTCCTGGAGGTCTGGCCGACCAAAGCAGCACCCACCTGTCAGAGGTGGGTGGCAATATGACGTTGCCCTTACAGGAGTAGGTAATGATGGAAAACCGTACTTGAGGGCTGGGGAAGAAGCAGGTGCTCGTGAGAAGGTGATGCGTTGTCTCAACAATTCACGATTCCACAGTGAGTGCTATAAATCCCCCCCCCGTACCATGTTGCTTCTACTTTAGGGTTCACCGCGGGACTCAGGGTATTTGGCTTAATTTGGTGCAGGATTCTAAAACCTATGAAATTGTGGAGCCCCACGGGAGAAAGAGTACCACTACGATATCTAGCTCCATCCCTATGTTCCCAACACTACACACACACACACACACACACACACACACACACACACACACACAATCTGTACAGGCAAAGGGGCGTCTACATTTCTCCAAGAGTGAGGGTTTCCTTCCTACCTTGCCACCTGACCTCCTTTCTACTGTCACATTCTTTTTCACTTCTTCACTCCTACCCACCTCCCTCCTCCAAAATTAAAGAAATCATTCTCCTTCTTGGCAGCCATTTTCCTCTCCCTGCTCAGTGCTTCCAGCCCAACACCCTCAGATTCCTTAGTGAGGTTGCTTCATGCCTCCCTGGCTCAGCTCCCTACTGCACCTGCTCTTGTTCCTGACTGAATTCACCAACAGTTATCAGACATTGCTGAGCAAGGCACAGTGTTAATCTTGTCATTCTCCTGCTCTTGAAACTTCTGTAACTTCCCGTGGCTCACAGTGTGAAATCCAATTCCCTTGGCCTGGCATGATGAGCACCTATGGCCTTGGCCCCAAGCTGATATGTGCAGCCTTATCCCAAAGCCCTGCTCCAAATTACTCTAAATTCCCAACCTTTCCAGAACACCACTCACTAGAGGTCATCTTCATGGTTGCTGTGACCCTGACTTTTCTCTGACCTTCAAGATCAAGTTCACATGTCCTTTGGGGTAAACTACTTTTGACTTTCTGGTATTCCTGGTTTTACCTTTAACCTTCCATGGCAAGTTCTCTGCCCTTTTTATTTGGCTCTGAGCATCCTGAAACCACATGTCAAGTGACTCAGTTACTGTTCCATCTCTCTTGATTTATTTCCCAACCTGTGAGGTCCTGGAAGGAAGAGACTGTGTCTCTGCACTATGCCCTGCCTCCCAGCAAATGATGCTAAGACCCCACGGTACTGGTGTGCTCTTCCCCTTTCCTGCTCAGAACACTAGCTTGAGTTCCTGTCTCTCTACAGGATGGACACTCTTGCCCAATAACTTCTAAGGGGTGTCCCCTCTGCCTGCCAGAGGAATTTTCCCTACAGTACAGGGGAGCCTGCGGTGTGGAGAAGCCATACTGTTGTATATGGTTGATCACATCCGCTGCAAACTGGCACACGTTTGGCCACGCAACTCCCATTTTTAGGGACCTAAAGACAAAAGAGATATGAGTTAGAAGAATGAGGTGCTGGTATGGAGGGAAGGTGACAGCATGTGCCTTCCCCCACTGTCGAGTGGCCTCCTTAACAAGCTACTCTCAGCACACCCCCTCCCTACTACTGACCACAGTAGATCATCATGTGAAATGACTTTAATAAAGGGCAAAGTGAAGAAATAGTGGCCAACCATCAGTATCTACTTGGGCCTTGGGTCCTCCACTACTGAGGGTCAATACTAGCTAACCAATGTGACTGGTTATGCTAGGTGTCAGCTCTGGTATCTTGAAATTGAGGGAGATGTCTTGTATGGAAAAGCCTATGAGAGCATGAGAGCGTGTGATATGTGGATTGCCTTGGCCCCTCCCTTGCCTTTGTTTTAACCATTTACCGGTCTCTCTGTGTTGTGGGTAGTAAAAAGCCCTTAGCACCACTGCCATCAGAAAATCCTTGACAGCCATAACCCAGGCCCAGAGGGTAACCCAGTTTTGTCCTGAAATTCCCCTACTCCTCAGATTGGAAAGACTTTTGTAGGCCTGTGTCTGACCTGCAACAACATGACACTGCCGGATTCCACTGTCCCAAAGGTCTCAGCACTCATAGCAGAAGGTGCAGGCATTTTCTATAGGAGCTTAGACTTCAGCAACACTGATGAGAACCTGTGCCTGTTTATAGCCTAGGTTTCTCACCAGCTTCGAGACCAGTAACTCTGGGGCCTGAAGGCCTTTTTCAGTAAGCTCTGCTAGGGGAGCAGCATGTCCACCTGTCATCATCTTCAACTGGGAGGTCCTTCCCATTCTGACTTTCACATCCCTGCTCCCTTTTTCTCCTATTTAGTGCCTGGATAGAGAGGCAGGAGGTGAAGGGAAACTAGGGCTTCCTTATCTTCCATGTACCAGAAATCACCCATATCTGCCCTACTTTTCAGGGATACAGGTTTGCAATCCCACAGCTCTATAGGTCTGTATGTCACTGGGGAGACAAAGTTCATTTCAGGTATGAAAAAAAAAATGTGAAGGTCAAGAACTATTTTGTCCAAGGTACAGGTGAAAGTTTGAAGTAAAGCGGAGGCTGATATGTTTGCCCAAGCTTTCCCTGAATCTTTGGCCGTTCATGTTTCATATGCAGCAAGAGCCAGAGGCACCTACCAGAGGACTCTGGTGGCCTCTTTGAATGTCATGCTTATATGTGGTGTTTTTCATATACCAAGAACAATCTCTTCTCTACCATCCTCCTGCCTCCTCTAGGCTAATTCTAAATATGAAAACAGGTGATAAGGCTATTAAGGACCAGATTTATCTTTATGCTTACATATGTGGATCAACTCTGTGATAATAGCTTATACCCATTTTACAGATAAGAAAACTCAGGCTCTGACAAGACAAGTAACTCATAACAGTTTTCAAGTCCGGTATGTATTAGAATCAAGATCTTTCTAAAAGAAAAAAAAAACATGAATTTTTCATTCACTTCACAATTTGGATCATACTGCATTGTCTGATGATTAATTTCTAGATTTACATTAGACTGAAAACAATTCACAATACAGAATTTACCTTTGACTGCTCTCAGACTAACATCCCTGTTTTAATTCTTGTCTGCTTTCCTTCTCATTACTCCCCTCCCACCTGCCATCCACCCCTGAGGGAAGAATAGCTGCCCTTGCAGACTCATGGAGAGCCAGAATCTTCACCCAACTCAAACACTGGGCCGGGGGAGTGTTCCATTGTGGCATGATTTTGAAGGAAGGTCTGGATTCTACAATACAGAAGAGTGTGCTCATATACAGAGAAAAAGGACCACAGGGACCTATACTACAGTTGCTTACAAAGGAGTCATAAACCACTTGGGCTACCATCATATAGAACTCTAATCATGTGTCCATGGCTACTCTTACAAGGTAGTATAGAGACACAGGAAACCAGACATTTGGGGGCAGCTTTAACATTGAAATTTGATTCCAAAATATCATTGTATTACAATCATGTTGAAGGTCTGGAAAGAGGTGGGATAGCTCTCCTGTAGAAGAGCTGAGCTATGAAAAAAGCTGAATGCAATTCTCTATAGTAAGAACTTGACAGAGAATATGTACATCTCAAATAGAAACAAAAGGCAGTCAATATAGATTAGATTAGAAAGAACATAATATCAGAAGAAAATACTAGAAGATTTGCAAGTGGCTGTCTCGGGGCAGTGAAGTCACAACCAGGGAGGAATTTGTTTCAGGAGACTTGAATTTTTGTTGTGACCTTCATAGCGTCGTCTTACATTTAAATATATCTTCAACCATTTCCTAAATAAATACAAAAAAATATACAATAAAAACTTGTTGCACGGAGTGATATCAGCCAAATGGTAGATTCAGAAGTTCCAAACCCTTGTACTTCCACAGAAACAATGAACCACATTAGGTGCATGAGCTCTGAAAAACAATCACCAAAGTTCTGCATTAATGAAGCAAATGTCTAATTGATAAAAACATTGTCTTTGAAATAAATAGGTTTCTGGCATAAGTTTTGTGACATTTTTATTTACCTTCCCTTCACCTCTCTTCCTGTACATTGGGGCAGTTTGAGTCTTGAGAAGTGACCCAGTTTTAAATTGTCCTCCTTGAACCAGAGGGAGCAATACAGTCCTTTGTTGCAAATTACTATATAATTATATTCATGTGCAATATAACTATATTAATTTTATTATTATATAATAATTTGAAAGTAAGCTCTCAGCTGAATGGGGGACTCCTAAAGGACTGGTTTCTCTGTCTTGCACAGAGGAAGGCACTACTTCTTAAAACCACTAAAGACAAAAAATCCTAGACACACAGGACCAAAGATTCTGGGTTGGAGACACACAATGGACCACCAAATACTGAGGAGGAGGTAAGACTATATTGGATTTAGGATGTTCTGTAGCAGCTGTGTACACAGTAGAGTTACAAATTCCTGGATTTTCAAAGATAAGAGGAATGCTCAGAATAGCCCTGTTACACCTAAAGTTTTCTCCTTGTGCTGATTACTACATCTACAGCAGATCTAGTTAAATCATGATTCAGTTTCCCAGGATAGAGCTATCCTACAAAGAGTGTAAAATTTTTGTGGGTTTTTTTTGTTTGTTTGTTTTTTGTTTTGTGGTTTAACATTTGTTTAGCTTCTGGAATTAAAAACAAAACAAAACAAAACAAACTCTGTGCAAACTTAAGCTGAACATGACCTAAAGGACAATAAATTCCAGTGATAATACACAGTCAGGTTTGGTCTTTACAAAAAAATTTAGAAAAATATAAGAACAATTGGCCAACTGAAAAATTTTTCAATAAAAGCAAACAAACAAACAACAAACAGAGTAACCCATAGGAAAGGATGGGAATCTGGTTTCTAGAGTTCCCTTATCAAGATAATGAAGATCCCTAGTTTTAACAACAAGAATTATAAGAAATACTATATATATATATAATTAAAGGACCTAAATAGAAACTATCCCATAAGAAGATAAGAATTCTGATGTTGTGGACAATGACTTAAAAAATATCTTGTGTATGCTCAAAGAGAAGAGAAAATAAAAAATATCAAAACTAATTAGTCAGTGAAACTAATAGAACCAACATGATAAAACTGACACAGAGAGAATTATAAAAGAAAAATGAATTCTAGAGCTGAAAAGTACACTGATTGAATTGAAAATTTTCTTTTATTATTTTTAATACTAAAGTTCATTAATTTTATTGAGGGTTTCAACAGCATATTTAAAAAGGCAGGGAAAAAAAAAGCATCTACAAACCTAGCCTTTGGGGTGTAGCTCATTGGTAGAGTGCTTTCCTTGCATTAACAAGGCCCTGGATTTTATAGCCAGCCTTACAATCAGTCAACAAATAAAAAACAAAAACAAAAAGAACCAGCAAACTTGAAGATCAAGAAAGTAAAGTATTGTTTCTCAGGAGAAGAAATAGAATGAAAAAAATATTGAGCTAATCTGAGAAGATGGGAAGTGTAGAATACTAGCTAGAAGAGTAATATAGTAAATGCTGAAATCCCAGAAAAAGAAAGGAGAGATAAAGGAGTACAAATATTTCTTAAAACAATGGTAGTCATTTGGGATATTTTTTATCCCAAATTTTTTGAAAGCCATGATCTACATAGCTAGTAAGCTCAATGATAACTTTTAACAAGGATAATGCAAAGAGACCAATAATGAGACATATTATAGTCAAACTACCAAAAGGCAGTGACAGTTCAAGAGAGAGAGAGAGAGAAAGAGAGAGAGAGAGAGAGAGAGAGAGAGAGAGAGACAGACAGAGACAGAGACAGAGACAGAGACAGAGACAGACTGACTCTGACTTATCACATACAAGGTAAACTTAATAAGATTATTAGCTGATTTTTCATCAGAAACCTTGATGACTCAAAGAGAGTAGATTATTTACATGAAAAGCTGAGAGGAAAAAAAGACATTACCCAATAATTCCATATTCTATAGCCATACTTGAGTCATGCTGGAGAGGTTAAGACATTCTTAGATTAAAAAAAAAATGCTAAGAGATTTGTTGCCACTCAACCTGACCTTCAAGAAAAGTTAAAAGAATTCCTTCTGGGTAAAAAGGGGGCAGTGGAGAAAGGCTCATGAGCCAATATAAAATCAGGTATCTGTGTAACATTTACTTATAAATCCAATTTTAAACTTTCCCCAAACTAAATATACAAATGTCTGACAAAAATTACACATGTGTGTTATGGGGACACATAAACTATAAAAAAATTAATTTATGACATTGCTAAAATAAAGAAAAGCAGAAAGCTACATAAATACAGTTTTTTAATACAATTGATGTTAAACTGGTATTGATTCAAATTAGATGTGTATAACATTAGGATGTTAGATTTAATCTGTATGTAATTTTATAAGGAATATACTGTAAAAGAATCTATACAAATTCTGTAATCAAATAAATTCAAAAGAAAATTAAAAAAGAAGTCAAAATGCATCATTATAAGAAAAGT